CCTGTCTTACTGGTTGTTTGGCCTGAGGCTTCCAGCACTGGAGTTCGTAGGCTGTTGGGTAGAGCTCGGTCTTGGTGCCGAGATGAGGACCTCCAGGAGACCTCATTCCAATGAATATTCCCTGGGGTCTGAGGTTCTCTGCTAGTCCAGTGGTCCTGACTCGGAGCTCAACCAGAGGAGCTCAGGCCCGCCCCCTTGCTTGTGAACCAAGATCCTGCAAATCGTACAGGGCAGCAAAAAAAAAAAAAAAAAAAGGAGCAAAACAATAACAAAGGGAAAAAAATAAAATTAGAAAACTGATATGTTAGAAAAAATAAAAATATAGATTAAACAACAACCAGAAGGTAAAACAGAATCACAATAGGAAAAAAAGAGGGAAAAAGAAAAAAAAGCTGAATAAGGCCTTGGCTGTGGGGGGTGGGGCTTAGGCAGGGGTGGGGTTTAGGCAGTGGGCGGGGCCTATGCTTAGGACCCCCAGGGCCACAAAAGGCCCTGGGGGTTCGGGGGTGTGGGGCTTAGTCTCAACGTGCAGGAAGGGCCAAGGAATGCCTCTGGCCTTGGAGGGTGAAGGGCCAGGTCCAGGTCTGGGACCCAGGCTCCCTGGGCCCGAGTGTCAGGGGAAACACCCTGTGCACCTCCCCTGATCCTCTGATCCTGGAGGGCCCCTCTCCATCCGCCTCTCCTCTGCTCCCCCACCCCCCATCTCCCTCCTAGGCCCCGAGGACCCAGGCAGGCTGGAGGGGGCCTTCAGAGGGTGGAGGACCTGGCCCAGGAGCCCAGCAGGCTTCCCAGAGCTGATTGGGCAGGGGACATACTAGGCACACTCCCCCCTTATCCTTTGAGCCCTCCCAGGGTCCCTCCAGACATGGGAACCCCTCCCCCCTCTCAGCCACCCCTCGGGGCACCAGTCCTGTACAGCCTCCACTTCTCCTGCCTCCTCACTTCCCCCCATGTCCTACCCAGTCTCTCGGGGGTTCCTCCCATCTCCTTGGGTGCTGAGGTCTCCCAACAGCAACCGGCAGGTGCCCTACCTGTGGGGAGACAGGAACTCTGCATCCTTCTGTGCAGCCATCTTGACTCTGCCTCCCTCTTTTTATATCTTTTTGTATTTGATTTGCTAATATTTTGTTGAGGATTTTTGCCTCAATGTTCATGAGAGATATTGTTCTGTAGTTTTCTTGTAATATTTTTGTATGGTTTTAGTATTAGGATAACGCTGGCTGTGTGGAATGAGTTAGGAAATATTCCTTCCTCTTCTGTCCTCTTCAAAGAGATTGCAGAGAATTGGTATAATTTCTTCCTTAAAAGTTAAGTAGAATTCACCAGTGAACCCATCTGTACCTGGTGCTTTCTGTTTTGGAAGGATATTAATTATTGATTCAATTTCTTTACTCGGTATAGGCCTATTCAGATCATCTATTTCTTCCTGTGTGAGTTTTGACAGATTGCTTCTTTCAAGGAGTTGATCCACTTTGTCTAGGTCGTCTAATTTGTGGACATAGAATTGTTCATAGCATTCCTTTGTTATCCTTTTAATTTCAGTGAGATCTGTAGTGATGTCCCCTCTTTAATTTCTGATGTTGCTAATTTGTGTCTTCTCTTTTTTTCTTAGTTTGCATGGCTAGAGGCATAACAATTTTAACAATCTTTTCAAAGAGCCAGGCTGTAGTTTTATTGATTTCTCTATTGATTTTCTGTTTTCAATTTCACTGATTTCTGCTCTAATTCTTATTATGTCTTTTCCTCCCCTTACATGGCATTTCATTTGCTCTCCTTTTACTAGTTTCCCAAGGTGGAAACTTAATTTATTGACTGTAGATCTTTCTTTTCTAATATGTGCATTCAATATTATAAGTTTCCATCTAAACACTGCTTATGCTACGTTCTACACATTTCGATGTTTTGTTTTCATTTTTATTTACTCCAAAATATATTTTAATTTCTCTTGAGATTTCTTCTTTGACCCATGTGTTATTTAGAAACGTTTAATATCCACAAAATTGGAGATTTTTCTATTACCTGTTACTGATTTTTAATTAAATTCCATTATGAGAACAGACATTATATTATTTCTATTCTTTTAAATTTGTTAGTTTCTGTTATGCCCCAGAATGTGGTTTATTTTGGTAAATGTTCCTTGTGAGCTTGAGAAGAATGTGTATTCTGCTTTTATCAGATGAAGTAGGCTGTAGATGTCAATTATATCCAGTTGATTGATAGTGTCATTGAGTTCAACTATGTCTTTACTGATTTTCTGACTGCTGGAACTGTCCATTTCTGAGAGAGGGGTGTTGAAGTTTCCAACTATAATAGTGGTTTCATCTATTTCTCTGCATTTCTATCAGTTTTTGCCTTATGTGGTTTGATGCTCTGTAGGTGTATACACATTAAGGATTATGTCTCCTTGGAGAATTGACTCCTTTATTATTATGTAATGATGCCTTTCTTAACCCTCGAAAAATTTCCTTACTTTGAAGTCTGGTCTGTCTGAAATTAATATAAGTACTTCTACTTTCTTCTGATTAATGTTAGCATGGTATATTTTTCTCCATCCATTTAATTTTAATCTATATGTTAAGTTAACTTCATAACTTTTTATAAGGACACAAAAGCTACATGGGTCTTAATACCAAAAATCATTAGAAGCAATGAGAATTACAATATAATTTTAATAGCATAACGTTTAATCACACAGTGTAGAACTACCAATGTTTCATTCAAATTTGCTGCAATGCCTATTAAATACCATAGACTTGAACTTTATATACATGTGTACACCCTTAGTAAACTATTAAATTAAACTACATACTCAATAATTTTCCTCCTACATGGAGCCTTTTGTACACGCCTTCATTATTTATACAAAGTGTTGCCACTTTCCAAAATATCAGGCATATTCATATTCAAATATTAGATACAAAATGCATTCTAAACTCAAATAAGTAATACTTTTCAGCTTATCTGAGCATTTTTCACTCTATAAATTCCAATACAAAGATAAATATAAATGTATGTAAAATATTTTCATATTTAAGAATATTAGAGTCAACTACTTGGTTATAAATTCTTCATAAAGAAGATTATCATGGTATGACTTGAAAGAAATTATTTATATGATAATTTTTTTAGAATTATAAGTATTGTAAGTTTCTGTGGGATTGACAGAAGAAGATAAAGATACATTGTTAAACAAGATATCCTCGGGTCTTTCTTTAAGGAATTTAAAGATTAATGGGGAACTCAGAAAAGTAAAACACATAATGAAAGTCTTAAAAAAGTGCTATAGTTAGGGTTCTATGAGAACTCACAGGAGGGACACTCCAATGCCTGATGAATGAATACTTATGTACTTCAACTTTAATCTGTATATTCAGTGGATTACTCACTTCTGGACATAATACTACTTGATGAAAAATTATGGTCTGAGGTAATCTGAAGATTTTATATTTTACTTTTCACAAATGCATGATTTAAATTATTATTCCCAGAGGGTAAGTAGAACACAGAAAAGAATAAAACAGGAAAATTTAAACAATGCTTTAAGCTACCTGTTTCTCTATAGGGTACAATTAAAATATTTAGTATTCATTGGGTTATTATAGTTCGCCAGACAATGTAACGGGAACATTCCCTATCTCGGTTAATCCTCTCAATCCTATAAAGTACTATTTAACCCTATTAAAGTATTAGTAATATGCTCATCTTTTAGATGTGGAAACTGGGGTTTACAGTAGTCAAAGATTTCGCCCCAAGTCATAAAGCCAGAAGCTAAGCTTTCAACAACTGTGAATAGATCTCCTCTTACGGTGTAAGGAAAAACCATAAAGCATAAGGGGAGAGTGAGATTGGGGGATTTGGTGGAGTGACAGGCAAGTTCAGTTATCCATTCTTTAGGCTATTTGTTATCACAGATCACTGCAGAGAATGCCTATGTTAAACATTACTCTGCACACATAAGCCTCTCAGAAATCTTTCTAGCATCTGAAAATGTATGCAGAATGGATAGCCCCTGCTATGAGTATCTGAGAGCATCCCAACATATGAAAGCAAATCGCATAATTCTGTATCTAATTATTTAACATCAGGATAACCATTATTTATTATCACATAAGACACTAATGCATTTGCTGTTATATTTGTAAGTTGAACTTCTAATTTTAAACAGGGCTCGTACCTGACTGTTTTCATGATGGTATCCAATTCCGCAAATAAGATATTCTTCTACTTTGAAATCTCCCTCTTCAATTAATGGCTTCCTATTATAAAACTTTATCTAGGTCTTACTGGTGTACCTTGACTTCATTATATTAAACTGAGTCAAATGTCTGAAACTAAATTTACTGCTTTCTATGCTGAAACCAATTGATTACATAAAAGTCGTTTGCCACAGCAGAATAAAAAGCATAATTCCATATTTGAAGGAGACCCTAAAACTACAATTCAAATGTTTTTAAAGAATCTAGGGGGTTCCCAGGTGGCGCAGTGGTTGAGAACCTGCCTGCCAATGCAGGGAACACGGGTTCGAGCCCTGGTCTGGGAAGATCCCACATGCCGCGGAGCAACTGGGCCCGTGAGCCACAACTACTGAGCCTGCGCGTCTGGAGCCTGTGCTCCGCAACAAGAGAGGCCGAGACAGCGAAAGGCCCGCGCACCGCGATGAAGAGTGGCCCCCGCTCGCCGCAACTAAAGAAAGCCCTCGCACAGAAACGACGACCCAACACTGCCAAAAATAAAAAAATAAAATATAAAAAAAAAAAAAAAAAAAAAGAATCTAAACATTATTCCATAATTACAAGTGTATTTCCTAAAATTAATTTTAACTAATTAATTCTTGTGATGCACTTTATATAAACAATAAAAAAATTTCATTCTTGGACTAACTTAGTGGGAAAACATGTTCTAATTTTTAAGAGGCTTTATTGAAGGGTGCTTTTAGAAAAAGTGCAGAATACGTAACTAAAATTAACTATTAACATTTTCTAGAGATCAAGGGGAACCAACTTAGAAGACTATAACTTTGCTTAAATTTAGCACCATTTGTATACATCTTAAAAATTGATATGCTACAGTTTTTAAAAATAGTTTTTTTCTCTAGCATCTATTCTTCATTTCTTCCTATAGCGCAAAAATTTATCCCTGCCCCCCAAAAAGATTATAAATGCATGCATGTGCATAACAAAGAGGTTTGACTATGGGACATTTCCTTGTTAAAAAGATATCTCAAAGAGAGAGAAAATCCTGAATTTGGTTAAGTAATTGAAGTAAACATAAGAGAGAGTCACGAGTACATTTTTACAAAGGCCCAAGATGGGTGTGATCGTTCCCAGGCCAATGATTAAACTAAGTCTAACAAAGATAAAGGGTAGATCCTGGAGCACGATGCCCAGGGAATTCAGAAGTGGGTTCCGGGGAGTCAGTATCATTCGAAGAAGAGAAATGAAACTGAAGATGTAGACGGGGTAGACCCAGCCTGACTTGTACACGTTGGGGTGCCCGGCCACCCGCACCATTTCTATCGTGTCTGACCACAGCAGAAAGCTCCAGAGGAAGATCTCAGCGCGCACATCCTGCTGTGACATCATTCTCAGGATTCCCTGTTCGAAGGTGGGCTCTTGGGGTCCCTCCAGCTCAGGAGTCGAGCCCCCTGTTGTGGCTCCTGGTAGCCAGGACAGCTGGGTCCTCTTGGCTGGCTGCGAAGGTGTCAGGTTTTCTTCATTTTGCCTCAATTCATCCGTCACAGTTTTTATTTGCTGCAAACTGGTCGTGTGGATGTGCCTGTCTTCTTTACCTGCAATAAGTTGATTTATTTACATTTTAACTTTAAATTTTTATTTAGAATTTAACTTTTCTTCTAATTTTATTTAAATTTAAATTTTAAATTTTTATTTAGAATTTAACTTTTCTTTCAATTTTATTTAAATTTAAATTGTTATTTAAATTAAAATGTAAGTTTTAATTGTTATTTAAATTAAAATTTAATTGTTATTTAAATTAGATTTTTATTTACCTGTGATTTTAAAATTTTTATTTAAAGTGAGATATTTAAATTTTTATGTAAATTAAAATTTTATTTAAATTTAAAAATGAAATTTAAGTGTTCTCTTATTTGAGGTCTGTTTCACACATGGAATTTCAAGATAGCAATGAGTAGCACAGTGCAAAAAAAACAGAGGCAGAGAAGGCTCTTTGTGTCTTTGTATTTCCCTGGGTATGGATCCTAAGTCATTTTTACCATTTCAGAATAATAGCCATTACTGGTTACTGAGCTAAGTAAGCACTTTCACACATTATCTCATTTAATCCTCAGATAAAAAGGTGAGAGATAGGGATTACTATCCCATTCGATAAATATGGAAACTGGAGTACAAGAGGTGAAGTGATGCCTAAATTCAAATACACAGTTAGGAATGGGCAGAGCTGGAATTCACGCCCAGACTTGTTTGACCCCAATTGACAATCCCTGAACTTTATGGCTGCTAGCAGTTTCTAGAGGCAATACATCACATGCTAATTATAAAACAGATACATATCATAAAATCAAATGAATCAAAAGTTCAATGGTCCAATCTTATTTTATAAGACGCCCACAGAGATCACTACAACCCAGATCGCCAAGCTTAGAGTCTGGTGCTAAGAGGGTCTTTTGGGCATGATCATGAAAGAGCACGAGAGAGCCTTAGTGAAGGATAACATTCTGTATCCAAGATTCTTAAGCTGTTCTTTCCCCCAGAGTTTTTGAACTCGTCAGTGCGATGGGTTAGACTAAAGTATCTCATTTGTGACCATGAAGCTGTGGCTGGTCAACATGTCAGTCATCTGAATGAGTAGGGCGTTTCCTCATTAACATCATAAAGTGAGTGAGTGTGTGTGTGTGTGTGTGTGTGTGTGTGTGTGTGCGCGAGAGAGAGACAGAGAGAGAGAGAGAGAGAGAGAGAGAAAGAGAAAGAGGGAGAGAGAGAGAGGGAATGTGTGTGGCTCTCTGTATACACATGGGTGTTGAGGTTGGGGTTATGAAGGAAGCTCAAATCTCAGAACTTACTGTTGATGGTATGATTTTTCTACATGAAAGGACTAGCGCATTATTTTCCAAATATTTGAACACTTAAGCACCGTTTTCATTGCTAACGAATTTCTCAGGTCTTGACAAAGTTTACTCAGCAAATGTGCTGAGCTGCCACATTACTTGATAAGACAAAATTTAAAGGGAGTCATTAGATGGAATAGCTCTAAAGGTTAAAGACACAAAGTCAATAAAAGTTGTTGAGATGTACTGAGCTGAAGTGAAAACATTTTAAAACAAATAAGTTATTATGATTAATGACTAATAAAAGGCTTGCTTACTATAAGTAGGAGTTGTTTAAAGGACAAACCTCAGTTTTCTTTCTATACAATTAATTATTTTTAAATTTTAAGTGTGAATTGATTATATTTATCAAGTAAAAAATAAATTCTTGATGAGATATTATTTGCTTCTGGTATGAATCATTTAATAATATAAATAAATGTTAGGAACCATGACCCTTAGAAACTTCCTTATCAAACTTAGATGTCACAGTGGCATGAGTAGGAATCTTTTTTTTTAAATTGGAATATAGTTGATTTATAATGTTTTGTCAGTTCAGGTGTACAGCAAAGTGATTCAGTTATATATATATATGTATATTCATTCCTTTTCAGATTCTTTTCCCATATAGGTTATTACAGAATATTGAGTAGAGTTCCCTGTGCTCTAGTAGGTCCCTGTGCTCAGTAGGTCCTTGTTAGTTATCTATTTTATATACAGTAGTGTGTATCTGTTAATCCCAATTTCATAATTTATCCCTTCCCCCTATGTTTCCCCTTTGGTAACCATAAATTTGATTTTGAGATCTGTGAGTCTGTTTCTGTTTTGTAAATAAGTTCATTTGTGTTGTTTTTAAAATTAGATTCCACACATAAGTGATATCATACGACAATGGAATATTACTCAGCCATAAAAAATAATTTATGAAAAAGAGAAAAATAATGCCACTTGCAGCAACATGGATGGACCTAGAGATTATCATACTTAATGAAGTAAGGCAGACAGAGAAAGGAATCATTCTGATAAATTACATTCAAGAGAGAAAAATATATGCTAATTACTATTATTTTAACAATCATAATATCATCTGTTTTTAAACTCAGATGCTCACTTGCATCAATTGTATCTCTTACTTTACCAAAAAAAAATCAATATAGAAAATACGTTTCTTAGAGTGTGTCAAGTCTTAGAGCACTCTCCTTCACCTCTCGTAGTAGATCAAGGTGTTCAAATGAAAATCCAAATTCCTTTGGCAATATGAGGAACAAAGCACATAATTTGGGCTTTTGAGGATGACTGCAAATTCAGCATTGTTTCAAAGCCAGGAAGTGCAATCTAAGAAGTGACACAATAACATTTTTTAAACAGTCATTGGGAGTCGTAATATCTGAAGATAAGAGCTGTTGGTACAAACAACGAATTCTTAGCTAGGGTTCATTTTTAATGAAATACAAAAGCCCTAATCCATGTGTATTTGGTAAAATCAGCCTCATATTTCTCCACGGCTCATTAGGGACTAGTTTAGATTTGCGGACTAGTTTAGGGTCTCTGCTGTCCTCTTTCCAAGTAAGAAGCATTATAACTATGAGCTGGAAAGCTCTGCTGGCCTCCCAAAGGGCAGGGTAGAGCTAAGGATGTTAAGAATTCATTTGGTCATTAGAACAGACCAGCAAGTTTATCCTCCAGTCACATAAACCTTCATGTATTCAATACTATTCCCTTCGGCTCCATGATTAGTTTCCCTCCAAATTATTATTTTTAAAATTTCCACTTATAGCTGGAATTCTTTTTATTGTTGCTGTTAGTTGTCAGGGTTTCTATTTGAGGAAAATTATATTTACTTGTGCAAAATCTGTAAAAGATATCAACACAAAGAGAGCAATCTACTCACTTCCTTAAAGGCTCACGTTGCCCTGTAAAAAGTAGAGGTCTTCCCTGGTCCGCCTGCCAATGCAGGGGACATGGGTTCGAACCCTGGTCCAGGAAGATCCCACATGCTGTGGAGCAACTAAGCCTGTGTGCTGCAACTACTGAGCCTACTCTCTAGAGTCCAAGAGCCACAAGTACTGAGCCAGTGTGCCACAACTGCTGAAGCTCGTGTGCCTAGAAGCCCGTGCTCCGCAACAAGAGAAGCCACTGCAACGAGAAGCCCATGCACCACAATGAAGAGTAGCCCCCACTCGCTGCAACTAGAGAAAGCCTGTGCACAGCAATGAAGACCCAACACAGCCAAAAACTTAATTAATTAATTTTAAAAGAAAGAAATACAACACATAAAAAATAAAAAGTAAAAATAGCAGGCCTGCTGCGTAGTTCCCCACAGCTGATGCCAGCTGCCAAAACAACTTTATATCCTCACCGTGCACGCCAAATAAATAAGGAAATGCAATTTTTTTTTTTTTTTTTTGCGGTACGCGGGCCTCTCACTGCTGTGGCCTCTCCCGTTGCGGAGCACAGGCTCCGGACGCGCAGACTCAGCAGCCATGGCTCACGAGCCCAGCCACTCTGCGGCATGTGGGATATTCCCGGACCGGGGCACGAACCCGTGTCCCCTGCATTGGCAGGCGGACTCTCAACCACTGCGCCACCAGGGAAGCCCAGGAAATGCAATTTTGATAACAGATAAATGTTTAAGTAGGTAACTCACACCTCTTTTGCTTTATTATTTCTTCATAGTGATGTATTTCTATCTCTAACTTGTTCCCCCAAAGTTTTAGATCACTTACAGGGAAAGTGTAAGTACAACATAACAAATCAGTAGTGAGGAATTTTCTAGAGTGACATGTATTCCTCTTGCAAAGAGAAAAAGAAAGCAATAAAAGCTATTTAAATAAAAAGAGAGCAAAAGGAGAGAGAAGAATCCCAAAAAAGGGCACCTAAAAACAAGACAGGAATGATGCTGCTACTAAAAATGAACTTTTTAAATGAAATCAACATTTTAATTTTATTCATTCAAAAATTTCACTGTATAAAGGCAACTTGGAAAAGGGAAATCTCAGCTTAGGGGTAAAATGGCCTTTTTGAGGGGGAAGGGGGCTGGACTCAAGTGCCAACAGCAGGCGAGTGCTAGGTAGTGCCCTTAGTAGGAGGACAGGCTTCAAAACTGCCTCTCCAAACAACAGCTTCAAAACCGCTCCTGACGGGGGCTTCCCTGGTGGTCCAGTGGTTAAGACTTCACCTTCCACTGCAGGGGGCACAGGTTCGATCCCTGGTTGGGGAGCTAAGATCCCCGCATGGCACGGCCAAAAGACTGCGCCTGATGTTGGTTAAGGGCTAGAACACTTGGACACCCAAGCTGTCTGCTGTTAGCAGACACACTGTAGAGTGCTGTTCCAAGCTTAGGCTGGGCATTGAGAATAATGCAGCGGATAATGTCCCTGCCTTCACCACTCCGCCCCCTGGATCTGGGAAGTGACAGTTAAGCAGAGACTGAAGAACAAATAGGAATGAATTATGTGAGAATGGAGAAAGGAAATTTCCAGGTGTTAGGAAGAGTAGGTGTAAAGCTCCTTCAGCTAAAATGAGCTGAAAGGAGAAGAGTGTGGTGAGGGGCTGGTGGGGGGCAAGAGAGCGAAGAAGAGGAGAGAAGCTAAGACTTACTAAGTGTCTTCTCCATACCAGGTGCCCTTCTAAGCCCTTTCTATGCATCCATTCACTTCATCCTTAGAAAAACTCTATGATGTGGCTAACAAAGGGGAAAGGTGTGGGGGGAAAGAAATTAGGAA